TGTATTCACAACTATGTATACACTTATACTTATTATCTTGTAAACAATTGACAAATCAAATAAATAAATAAAATAAATAAATAAATATATAGATTGAAAAAGTCTAACCACAGCAGCAAGGAACATAGGCCTGCAAGAATTGTGGAATTTAAATCTTGTGTAGCCAGGGCTAAAGCAAAGACATACCACATAAACATTACTGCTTCATCATGTAAAAAGCATGGGTGTTTTAAAATAATTTATTCTGAGAAATGTCCATGTAATAGAAAGACATTGTGATAATTTCTTTTTTCCATGAGACTTAGAGAAGCAATTTTCAACAAGAAGCTAAATTTGTTATCTGTTTGACAATGCTTTTCTCTCCACCAGAATGTAGCTTCTATATTTTCCATGTCATGTGTGTGTCAGCAGCCTATAATTAGAAATTGTCTGAGAAATTATAAAAAAATGACCAAGACTGACAGGCAAAATTCCTCTTTTTCATTCCAATATATACTGTATGCGTGAGAAGAAAAAAATCTGCTCTCAGCATTGTGGTTTGTATTGAGGTCCCAAGCTTTAGACCGGAGTTTCTGAACCCCAGCAATTTTAAGATGTATAGACTACGACTCTTGGAATTCCCCAACCACTTGGACTTGTAGCATTGCCAGATATTTAACGTCTTGTTGAAAATTGCTTCTATAATTTTCATGGGAAAAAAATCTAAATTATAAAAATTATAAATTTTAAAATTCTACCCACAACTCTTTGGAACATGGGGGATTTATGTTATCTTTTATTAGGTAGATATTTTATTATAGAAAATACTACATATACATAATTTAATACTAAATATTAACATTAATGACAAATATTTAATATTAACTTTATTTTTTCTGAAAAATATGTCTTTCTTTTATTCCTTTCCTGAACATTTATTCACAAATGTAAAGCAGATTAAATTTACTGCGTAATTAATCATTGTTCCCTCTATTTACTAACATCCCAGTTCTTAGGTAGCTAAGTGATGTTATTCCTACTAACAGGCATATTAACATGGTTGGATAAAGGCCAAATTTTTACAAGGACAAAACAGATCCATAATAATTAAAAACACTTGAAAGATAAAGGACCTGAAAACTTTTTTTTTTTTTTTTGAAAACAGTTTTATTAATTTTAACAACAAACAAAAACACATAAAACATAAAAAACATCATCTTTCCTTCATGAGTTTACAGACAGTGTATCGGTTGGTTTACCACTTTTTTGTGTGCATCCATTTCATAGTCTCCATTGTAGTTATATTACATAATAGCTCATATTATCAATCAACAATTATATAGCCTGATATCATTATTAAACAACCATTTGACTATAATTTTATTAATTCATACTTTAACAAGATAAGTATAATTTACTTAATTTATTTTATAGCAAATCATAAAGTCATACCAAGTCTATCTTAATAAAATTTTATAAGGATAGTATCAAAGAAAAAAAAAGAAATATATATTCATTGTTTCCTAAAATTCTAAATATTCTATTATTATATTTTATTATCTAGCCATTGATAGAAAAGGTCCCAAACTTCATAAAATTGTTTATCTTCTTGTTCTCTAATTTCAAATGTCAATCTACTCATTTCAGCACATTCCAATATTTTCTTAATAATTTCTTCTTGTGATGGTATTTTCTCACTCTTCCAATTTTTAGCAAATACAATCCTAGCCGCTGTCAATACATTTACAATCAAATATTTCAAATTTTTATTGTATGTATCAGGTAAGATTCCCAATAAAAAAATCTCTGGTTTTAAATCTATATGTTTCTTTGTCATTTTTTCCAGCCATATGCGAATTTTAGTCCAATATTTTCTAGCGTCCTCACAAGTCCACCACATATGGTAATATGAGCCAGGTATCTGATGACATTTCCAGCATTTTTCTTTATAAAATGCAGCAAATTGTCACTTTATAATTTTGAGAGGGAAAGCCTCAGAATACCTTTTTCTTTTTCTTATTGGGACTTTTGCCTTTTCCATTTTCATTTTTGATCCATTTTTATGGCTATTTTTTATTATTGAGATCTTTCAACTGGATTAAGGTGTGAAGAACCTGAAGAATTCTTTTTTTTCTTACTACTTTTTAATACTATTGGGTTTTATTCTTTTTCTTTTTCTTTTTAATTTTTACTTTGAATCATAATTGACTATCCCACAATAGGATTAAGGTCTAGAAGAAGCTGAAGAACCTTTTCTTTTTTCTTTTTAATTTTCGGCTTTTTAATTTTTATTGTCTTTTTTTAATTCTTTTTTTCTCTTTCTTTTTCCCTAATTGGAATACAATTGGCCACTCTACTAATTGGATTAAAAGAGCTCGAAGACCCTGAGTTACCTAAATGAGTAAGAAATTCATATCTTCTGGCATTTCAACTTCTGCTCCTACCTCCCCAACAGTAGGACCTGAAAACTTTTTGTGACTACCAAAATATATCCAAATAGTGCTTTTGATGAAGATTTGCCATAGGAAAAAAAGAAGTAGGCAGCAAGCACAAGCAAAATAGATTTGAAGGTTTGAATCAGGCCAGCTGACAACCAGACACAAACTTTCAAGTTTTCCCCATCACAACTTTTTTCCTTACAATAGCTACATTCCTAACAAAATGCTTTTTTTGCCTGTATTGCCATCTAGCTGTCAAACAATAAATTCCAGTATTATTGTGTTCTTACTGCTTACAGATAGAATGGCAGGGACTCAAAAAGTGTTTGAAACAGCTTCATTTTAAAGAGGCTTACATACAAAAATCAGATGGTTTAAGACTGCAATGTTGATAATCATATTTTGATATGTTTGGCTTAGGGTGGACATGACACATGAGCACATCTGTTTTGAGTAATAAAACTCTGGATTAGAGTTAAATATGAAAACATAGACTTTGATAAGCTAACTTGAATTCATCAGAAAGACGGTTCATGAAGTTGAAGCGGTGTATAATCACTGATTGTAGGGAAAACACCCTGCACATTTCGTGTTAAACCACTGTCTTATTAACGTTATAAATGTTCCAAGAATGTTAATTGCTCCAGAAAGACTTCTGTGTCTATTCTTGATGATTTCCTATTGCTTATATATGGTATAAGTTCATTTTTAATAAACTGACCTACCTATGAAGCTGCTTACACATGAAAAGACACAAATTCCCCCATCAAAATGTATGGTACTATTATTCTATCACCTCTTTCTTATGGAGTTATCCATTGTTTGATTGGTAAGCCACAACGATTAAATTCACACAACATGTTCTGTGATCATATTAAGAGCAACTGTGTTCTATTCGCTGATGATGTAAAGCTATTCAACACCACAGACAATACTGCTACCCTTCAAAAAGACCTCAACTATGTATCAGAATGGTCAAACAAATGGCAACTTCAAATCTCAACAAATAAATGCTCTATCTAACATATTGGCAAAAAAAATCAGAAAATAAAATACAAGCTGAATAGTCAAGACCTTGTTGATGATCCAAGCTCTGTAAAGGACCTTGGAATACTCATTTCTAATGATCTAAGTGCTAGAGCCCACTGTAATTACATAGCCAAAAAGACCGTAAAAAGCCCACTACATAGCCAAAAAGGCATTAAGAGTTGTTAACCTAATCCTACATAGCTTTTTCTCTGGTAAGATCACACTACTAACTAGAGCATACAAAACATTTGCTAGACTAATACTCGAATACAGCTCATCAGTCTGGAACCCACATTACGTATTCGATATTAACACAGTTGAGAAAGTCCAGAAATATTTCACAAGAAGAGTTCTCCACTCCTCTACTTGTTGTAGAATAGCTTATGCCACCAGACTTGAAATTCTAGACCTAGAAAATCTAGAACTACGCCGCCTTCGGTCCGATCTAAGTATAGTATATAAAATCATACATTGCAATATCCTGAATACTTCAGCTTCAACCATAACAATACAAGAGCAAACAATAGATACAAACTCAAGGTAAACAGCGCCAAACTTGACTGTAGGAAATACAGCTTCAGCAACAGAGTGGTCAATGTCTGGAATACTCTACCTGGCTCTGTGGTTTCTTCCCCAAATCCCAAAAACTTTAACCTTAGACTGTCTACTATTGACCTCACCCCTTTCCTAAAATGTCTGTAGGGGGCGTGCATAAGCGCACCAACGTGCCTACCGTCCATGTCCTAGTGTTTCTTTTTATTTTTTTTATATGTATCCATTTCATGTATTCATAACTATGTTTATACTTATACCTGTTACCTTATAATCGCTTGATAAATAAATAAATAAATAAATACCGCGTTGTGGCTAAGAGCAGAAGGTGAATCAATCTAAAACTTAACACAAGTCATTTTTTAAAAAATTATTTATTTATTTATTTATTTTGTCAAGCGATTATAAGATTACAGGTATAAGTATATACATAGTCATGAGTACATGAAATGGATATATGTAAGAAAAATAAAAAGAAACAATAGGACAGGGACGTTAGGCGCTTTATTTTATTTATTTATTTTATTTGGTTTGTCAATTGCTTACAAGATAATAGGTATAAATAAAAACATAGTTATGAATACATGGATACATATCAGAAAAATAAAAGAAACAATAGAACAGGGACGGTAGGCACATTGGTGCGCTTATGCACGCTTATGCATTGCCAAAGCCAAATTCCCACATCTGTAAAAATTTCGGAAGATAACTGCTTTTTAATTCATTTAGATTCCATCACGGGTACATAAAACGTGATTTGTTTTTTTAAACTGCCTTGCGAATAATGTCTGAACATCCCTATTCAAAGATGACCGTTAATTTAATCCTTTCCTATCTCTATGTTCTCTGGGTCCGGGTCAAAGTCTTCGGAGCAAGCAATCCCGGCTTCCGGGTAAGGCGTGCTAGCTTTCCGTACTGATAGAAGCGTGAATAGTGAGACCTCGGTTTCTGCTGTAACTGTGCGTGTCTTATTTTGATCTCCGTCCCTGCAATCAGGTTGCGTTGAAGTTTCTTTTCTGTGTTCAATCTTCGCCGGTTTAATGTCCTGTCCTACGAAGGACATCACATTGGGGAAGCAACTCCGCCGCCTCAAATGCATTTCTTTAAAAGAATTTTTTTACTTAGCTCTTCTAATGTATGGATTTTATATTACAATGATAATTACTAGCTGCACCGTCTTCCAGATTATCTTTTGTTTATTGCTCAATCTTTATTGCAGCTTTCCTCCCCCCAAACCATCTGCTTTTAAATATCCGATTTTATTTAGAAAAAGGAAATTATTTCTTTGACGTGATTGAATCTTATTAGCTAGGAGCAAATACAGGATGACATGTATTCTTTTAGGCAGCATCTGTTAAAGAAAGAAAAATGCTACAGGGGGCAGGAGTAAAAAATTTGTGGTATTATTTAGTTATTAGATTTGTACCGCCTGTATCTCACAGTTTTTAACTACCTACAGAAGTGATCCCCAAACCAAATACTCTCCAGATATTTGGAATGATAATTTCCGTCATCCATTGAAAATGGAGGACTGATGATGATAAGATTTGAAGACCAATCCCTTTGGAGAGTACCAGGTTAGAGAAAGCTGAGTTAAAGTAATTGTGGTTGCCAACTTTTTCTTCCTTTTTTCTCACTAGAAATGTGGACTTGAAACTCCCCATTTGAAGATATATATCTATAGTTATTGAGTTGCTGTGGTGATGGAAAATCTATGTGTGAAGGTGCATCAATTGTCAAAATCTAGCAGATATACCAGCTTACTACAGAAACGGCTTATGACCCAAAGCAGGACTCCTGTACAGTATGCTTCATTTTCAGAAGTTCAGCAACTCCCTGAAAAACAGTCTATTGCCATAACGTTTCCTCTCCAAGATCTGGCAAAATTCTTGTCTCCTAATGTGGACAAATCATCCTTCTACATTTTCAAACCTAACCAGAGGGACATCCAGACAGCAGAGATGTTTTTCATTCCATCAAAGCAACACATCATTGATTATTCCACTTCTGCGGTCCGGATGGATCATGCCCCAGAAATGCCTGAGCCTGAGGTGAGATCAGTGAAAAGGAGGTTCCATTTTTATTATTTAAGAGGGAGGAGGACAAATGGTATCAAAATTATGCCATTTGACATGTTAAGCAGAGAGTTGGATACGGAAGAAAAAAACTTTCTAAAAGTCCAGATTGTAGAAATCTTTTGTTTTTTAATTGCAGAATATCTCTATTGTTGTAAACAAAATTTTGGTCCTTGTGATGTGAATGCTGCCCAAATAGCAGACTTGCAAAGGTAACCTGGTTGATGGACCATTAAGGGATTAAATATCTACTTAATCATTTTTTATCTATGGAGATTCTCAGTCATCCAGGTTATGGTTGTCTCAAAGTGCTTTTTCAAGAGCCAACTGCACTTTGTTTTTTGTTTGAAGATGTTTCACTTCTTATCCAAGAAGAAGCTTCTTTGCGTTAATCATTTATTGTTTCTTTATAAATAACTCAAAGATAAACAGAAGCTGATTCATACTGTCTGTTTATCTTTTTCTATTTTACATCAGTGTTAGGTACTGACGTAAAGTTCAGGTACTTATCTAGCTTTGCAAGAAATATAATCCAAATTCATTTTTGTTTGTTGTAGCTTGGGTTCTTAAACAGGAAGATCCATAAAACAAAATGATAGCAACTATAAATAAAGCTAATCTTGCAACATTGGCAACTCAATGAAAACAATTTTAGTTCAGGAGTGAAAATATTATTTGAATGCACAATTTCTCCCACATTTTTTTCTTTCAATCTCTGTAGATCAGTATTACCTTAGTTTTACAGGAATTTGGAAACAAGCTTGAAACACTAAGCTAACTCCTACCATTTTATTGTAGCTAGCAAGTTTTGTGAGCTTGAATTAAAAATATTGATCCTGGCTAGCTAAAACATCTGGAATCGGTTTAAGTTCACTTCTTTGGCTAGAAAGTAAAGTTTAAACTCTCAGTCTGAGCTCTAACCTTTTACAAGAGAGGAAGGACTTCTCCTTGGCTTCATTTTAGTTTAATTAAGATGTGAGAAAAAGAGATATTTAGGAATTTTATTGAGACAGAAGGAAGAAGAGTCATAGGGAGGGAAACAACACAAGTATTTGCTTTTATGCGGGGACAAACAAACAAGATTCCAGCTTTTTGTTCACAACGTCATAAGGAGAGATGGGTTGGTGAGTAATGGTAGCAGAGATTGCAACTAGTCAGGGAAGCTCTGTCATTTTTTAAAAGAAGCAAACAATGAGCATGACAAGTAGACAGCTTATATTTTAACTTTTTTGGGGGGGGGGTGTTTCTCATCTGATTCACTGCTCTTTCTTGAGCAATACTAGTTGATGGTAACCAGAAAAGAGTTGGAGCTCAGGAGCTGCTATCCCCTCAGAACGGCATAAAGATGATCTAGAACTAGGTAATCAGCACTTAATAGCAGTGGTTGATGAGAAGGTGCAGATAGGTAGTAGGAACTGCTTGGTTCCAACTATAGCGCCTTCCAAAACACATACCTCCCTTCCCTAACAGGAATGTGCAGATGGTCCAGGATTGATTTCCAAGTGACTTTCTCTGCAAGTGTTAATCAGCAGATAGAAGTAGCAATCAGAGATCAACAGGTAGGTTTTTCCCACCCTAGAAGCAAGACACATAAGCAGATTTGCTGCCTTCTGTTCACTAAGATGACACGTGCTAAGAACAGGAGCACAGAGCAAAAAAGAGGGGGCAATCCAAGTCATACCTGGTCCTGGTGGTTCTGTGGGACTTGTGGAAAGCAATTTCCTCAATGGAGACAATCCATACCCCTACAGAAGGGACTCTCTAAAGTCTTCCAGCCATCAAGGGAAGCAGCATTATAAACGGAACTATCTGTAATGCTTATATTTTTGGGGGAATGATCAAAAGTAATGATGGCATCCCTAAGTTCAGAGATTTCTCTGATTGGCCTCAGAACATGTCCAAAGGATAGATTCTTACCATTTCCCCTATCAGAAACTCTATGTAACCCTGAATGTAACCCTGGCTTATAAGATTCAGCAATAGAGAACATCTCAATAGCTAAATGTCCAGCAACTAAATACAGTAGCTGCTCTGGTCAATTTGGCAGCTATTCAGATGATGGTGACAACATCAATGAGAATAACAGAATGTCTGGGTTTCTTCTGATCAAACTAGGTAGACAAATAATTGGCAGCAAAACTAGCATAAGTCATAGCACTCTTACATAAACTAAGAGTACTCAAAAAGGTTGCCAAAGGGTATACACTAACCTGAGACTCTGGGAATCAGGCAGTATTATATAAATTTAATAATTTAATAATTACTATTATTATGAAGCCTGCTCTGTCAGAAAAATGAGTGCATCGGCAGCTCCACAGCATGGCTTCCCTTGATCGATATTGTACTTTTACTAAACATTGTAAGATAAGTTTGTATCTGCAAAGATAGTTTCAGATGGTCTCATCTACAAAGAGAGTGCTGTCATTTATACTGACTTCCTGCCATATTACTGTAAAATAAATCCCATTCCTGTCAACACCAACATCAGGTCCTTAAGAACGATATTTGGCATTATGTTAAGCACCTTCTGATCACAAAAATGGAGACAAATAGTCTTACCCTAATGAAAACTACTTACAGCTTGCTATATTCCAGAAAAAATACTGAACCACCTGATTTGTTGCTTACCTAGCATTTGCTTATAAATTATAACTCTTGTCAGTTAGTGAAAAATTAGTTTTTTTAAATAATTAAAAAAAATTCTTACTGTCTTGTGGATGGTCAATTAAGGTGACTGCTGATGAGAGTTTAGCCTCCATTGGGTGGCATCAAGTTTAAACCTAGATGCTGGCAAGAGGGAAAATAACTAATTTGTGTCAGGATCATTTTTTGGAGAGTACTAGGAGTGTTTAAGTACAATTCTAATTATTTCAAATATATGATAAGATCCCAATTGCCCCAACCTCATATGTGAGGCCAAGCTAAAACCAGTTGGCTGGCTCCTCTTTAAAAAGATTCTGGATATAGCCTAAGATTCACAAAAGAATAAAATTAGAATATGGTTTCCATGTGCTCACTTTGCTAGAACGGTAATTAAGAATTTGCTTCTGGAGTATTTGAATAGCCCATAGAATTTCTCAATGGTTTCCATTTCTAGAAGGACTATATTTCTTCTATAGATGTTCTTACATTTTGCAAACCTTGAGATTTCTGTAGGGTTACAAAAAAAAAGTGTTTTCATCAGGAATTCCATCTGTTTCCATTGCTGGACCCAGGCCCCCTTTCAGGACTCTGCAGTGATTAGGTTGGTATTAAAGACACCAGCTTCCTGATTCTAACCAACACATCTGGAGAGCATCAGGCTAATATCAACATGCCTTGTTTAAATGATATATCTTTTATTATGTTATGAATGGAATCATGAAATCACTGTAACTTTCTCTTCCAGGTTTGCTTTTTAGGAAGAAGCAATGTTGGAAAATCATCTTTAATTAAAGCATTGTTTTCATTGGCCCCTGATGTTGAAGTCAGAATTTCCAAGCATCCTGTAAGTTTCCTGTGAAGATTGATTATATTCACCTTCAAAGTGAATAGAGCATAAGCAAGACAATTTATATCTGTATTGTGAAACTTTATTTCTGGAAAATAAGGGCAAGGAGATTTTTTGAATAAGTGCATCATACACATCTAAATTGGTCAGTTTCATAATTACAAGGTGAAAATTTTAAAATGTTAGGTGTCTATATTAATGAGGGATTATAGAATATACAAATAACATATGTTGTTCCATTCAGTCAACCTATTAACATTTTATTCAACATAAATAGGGTAAGGTAAAGGTTCCCCTTGCACATTCGTGCTAGTCATTCCCGACTGTAGGGGGCAGGCTCATCTCCACTACAAAGCCAAAGAACCAGTGCTGTCTGAAGACATCTCCATGGTCATGTGGTCAGCATAACCAATGCCGAAGGCGCACGGAACACTTTTACCTTCCCACCAAAGTGGTCCCTATTTTTCTACTTGCATTTTTACATGCTTTCGAACTGCTGGGTTGGGAGAAGCTGGGACAAGTAACGGGAACTCACTCCATTACGCGGCACTAGGGATTCGAACCGCCAAACTGCCAACCTTCCTGATCGACAAGCTCAGCGTCTTAGCCACCGCATCCCTTAAATATATATATTTATAAGATATATTTTATATATATCTTATAAAACTTATAGACAATTTTTACTCCATTTTAGGTGTTTTGCAGTACTGCAGTATTGCTTCAGAAATGAATCTGCTGTATATGTCTTTTCAGTTGCAGATTATCTACAATAATCTACAGATTTGTATTTTATTTAATGTTCAGGATATCACAAATAAATTTTTAGACTTTGTCATGAATTTATGATATTTTTAAACTTACATTTTAAATAAGTTCATAGAATCCATAATGCTTTATCTGAAAGAAGTCAAGAAGAAAAAGCTTCTCTTCTTTTTCTCCAGGGTCACACAAAGAAAATGAATTTTTTCAAAGTGGGAAAATTCTTCACTTTGGTGGATATGCCAGGCTATGGGTTTAAAGCACCCAAAGATTTTGCAGAGATGGTGGAGCCTTATTTAACCCAACGCACAAAGTAAGATTGAATATTATAATTTCTTGGAAATGTTTCGTCGGATTAGGAGAGAGGCAACAGAGTTGTAAAATTTAGAGAGATGTGCTTGGACATATAAAACAATGTTTAGGTAAAACAACTTTTAAATTTGGATAAGATACAATGCTGTTATAACCACTATTTACAAGTAATTCCTGAGGTATGGGTGAAGCCATATTGCTGTAATTTGCTGAGTCACCTCAATTCTATCAGAAGCAGCACATTTTCTCAAAAAAGCAAAATGTATCTTCACTCAAAATTATGGTTATATCTGTTGTCCTGCCAAAGGAGAATTTACCATGTAATAATAGTAGAATGATAGAATATAAATGTTTTTGAATTAACTTAAAATTAGGAATTGAAAACCACCTATTTCTCATGCTTGACTGTTTCCCCCCCCCTATTATGTTTGTGAGAAGTTGTGGCTCTGTTTCTATTTTCTGCAGTTTGAAACGTACATTCTTATTAGTAGATGCTAAAGAGGGAATTCAGGAAATGGATAACATTGCTGTAGAAATGTTAGAAGAATTCGGGATCCCTTATGTTGTAAGTAACATACTTACCTTGTTTTAAAATAATGAGTGTAGAACACGGGTGTCAAATTTGCTGGGTCATGTTGCTGTCACGTGACGTTTTATTATGTTTTCCCCATTTGTAGAGTTGGGGTGGGCGTGGCCTGCGTGAGACACATCTGGCCTGTGGGCTGCCAGATTGACGCCCCTGGTGTACAGTATTAAGATTCTCAAAAAGTCATTTAACAGTAACTGGAAAGCATAAATACTATCTAATCAGACACTATTGATGATGTCTAAGAAGGCATTTCTCAACTGTAGAATTCTGAGAGTTGAAGTCCACATTTCTTAAAAGTTGTTAAGGTTAAGAAACATTGGTCTAGGATAATTAAAGAAAAACTTCATGAAGAAACAGAAGCAGACAATTTTTTAGGAATTATATTCCAGCTTAGTAAGAGATGTGCATGCAAAAAATAAAATTTGTAATTAAAATGCTCCTCTCACCAAAGGGTTTTAAAATTGTACTAAAACAATTAGTACAATATGCAGTACTTTAACCATTATATTCATAGAAATTAATGTGGAAGTATAATGGCAAAATAAATATAAAATTTCCTTCCATCTTAAATAAGTTGCCTAATCCTGACATAAACCTTTTTGCTCCAACATAATCTATTCTAAATATTAACTTAAAAGAAAATGGCATTATCTGCAAGAAATGCATTTTTAAGCGCTTAACTAAATTTATTATTATGTGCCTATATTATGTGCTTCCTTTATCACTGACTTATGGACTTCATTCCTTAAGAAGTATACAGTGGATATAAAAAGTCCTCACACTCCTGTTCAGTTTGCCTTTCAGTTCCATTGTATGTGTTACATGCTATATTAAAAATGAAAAAAAAAAGAAGTAATTTATCTTGGTCTGATTTTTTTTTTGTCTCAAAAAACTGTTATTTTCACAAGGGTCTATAGACTTTTAATGTCCACTGTCGATGCACAGAATTTGACCTAAAGTTAGTTCCATTTGACCTCACAATTATAACTTATTTGTTCTAGTGCACGGGTGTCAAACTCAATCATGTCATGTGTTGTATTGCAACCTTTTTTTGCCTTTGAGGAGCTGGGGTGGAAGTGGCCTATGTGTGATGCATCTGGCCTGCGGGCCACCAGTTTGACATCCCTGTTCTAGTGCTTTCAGCAGGATTCAAATATGGCTGCTGTAATTTAGTCTGCATCCAACCATATTAGTTAATTGTTTGACCCACAGTTAGGCCATGTACGTTGTAGGTAGGGATAAATGAATTTGGTGAAATTCAGATTCAAAAAATATATCTCAAAGTAGAAAAAGTTGGAAGAGGAAAGGCCAGGATCTCATTCTTTTAAAGAACAGCCTGTGAGGAACACTAAACTCATTGCTAAACTCAGAAATAATTTAAGGTTTCAAAAACTTGTTCTAAACTATTTTTAGTGGGTATGTTTTTGTCTTTTGACAGCTTGTATTAACCAAAATTGACACAGCATCAAAATCAGTGATGGCAAAAAATGTGCTACAGATTCGAGACTTTGTAGAGAAAAATGCTCACACATGTTTTCCTCAACTTTTTCCTATCAGGTAACAGCTAACAATGTCATATGTTGTTTTCTTGGAATAATAGAAGTAGTTTGCCATTGCCTAGTATTAAAGTGTGAGTTTCAGTTGCTACTTGCTACCAATCTAATCTACAACCTATAATCTTGGTTTCCCATCTCAATACTTACCAAAGCTGACTCCTCAGGACCATGAGATTAACCAAGGTTGGCTAGGTGTTTCCATTTAGCTATTATGGAAGAGTTGTTCCTCAAGCAAAGGCAGCAAGAGCAAGAATAGAGAACAAATGCAAATTTATTTTTATGAGACTGCTAATATAATATTTCTATCTTTGTTTCCACAGTTCTTTGAATTATACTGGAATTCATGTATTGAGATGCTTCATAGCTCATGTTACTGGAAATCTTCCATTATCCACTGAATAAAGCATTATATTTGGAAATATCTTGTTTCAACCTTCATGCTAGATGCTGTATAAATATAAATTATTTTGGAACAATAAATGCTATGTAAATTCTATAGTTATATACATACATACTGTAAATACATGCATACATACATACACACTCGTGTTGATCAAATGTGAATTTCAAAGATTAAATGTTATGCTTAGAAGTAAGAAAAGAAAGATCAGGTAAACTAAATTATGAGAAATGAAAGACCCTTGAGTCTTTTTAGCTTTGAAAGCTGAAATATATGACAATCAGCTCCTGAATGGATAACAAAGCCTCAAAACCATTTTTCTTTCAACTCAGAGTGCAAAACTCAGAATAAAGAATTTAAGTTAGAGAAGACAAATTCCAGCAGAAGATTTAAAAATACATTCAATAATAATTTGACAGTGGAAACAATTACAAGTGAGGTAATAAGCCTAATTAGTTAGATATTGTATGTTAAAGCAAAGATTGAATTGTCATCATTGGGATACTTTTAATTTGCAGTAGACTGGGTATGAGGCTGCTTGTAATGGTCTATGTAGCCCTTTTCAGTTCTGTAATTCTATAATTGTGATATTCTATAAATTATGTAGATATGCAAGGATTGCTTTCGCAAAAACAACCCTATCTATATAGGCATTCCCTATCTATATAGTCTGGGCATTGGGTAGAACAATAAGAGAAATTGCTTGTTTCTTTTGTACAGCAAAAGAAAATAGAAATATTTGTATTGAATTATTTTTTAAAATAAATATATATTTTTATTTGGAAACAGAAGACCCAGCACATTTCTACTACATGCAATGTGGACTTTCTTATACAGTCAAAAGCATTCCTTTTTAAAGTGGTCAGCTTTGTTAATAAAACCACTCAGATCTGACTACCTCAAAAGCACAACTTCTCTAATTAGCTTGGTAATTCTAGCAGAGGCATGTAATAGGTCTAAAGCAGGGGTCTCCAACCTTAGCAACTTTAAGACTAGCGGACTTCAACTCCCAGAGTTCCTCATAAGGTTGGAGACCCCTGGTCTAAAGCATCCAGATGGCTGATGCTTCTCAATCTGCAGTTCTAAGTACTTTATTCTGCTTAAAACTATATTACTTTCAACAGCAGATGGATTATTAGCAGTCATTTCCTGATTGTTGTCCTTTTAACTTCGAATCCTTTTTTCCCCCGATCAAAGCAGCCTGCTCTGTTTCTTGAAATTAAGACCAAATGTAATAGCTAAATGGTTTAATAATGGCAGGATTTTTCAGAAAGAAATGCAGTTTACGGACTCAAAATGAGCAGTGCAGAAGTAATTCATATTTACATTTATACAGAGGCAATATGCATTTTCTGTCTCTTTTCGCCGCTCTAAGGCGTCCGGACGGCTTTCCAACAGATGTGAAAGCCCCTTGGACCTTCCGGTGCTGGCCATTACTCAAGATTGCACATGCGTAACTTGTGCAATGAAGCCGGTGGAAGAGGAACCGAAGGCCTGCTATAGAGTCATTTCCTCAAAGGGACATGCGCAGTTGAACGTTTGCCTTCCGGATTGAAGCGAAGTGGGCGGTTTGCTAATCGGAAGCGGTCTTAAATTTTATACCTGGAAAGAGGTAATCCCTGATGCTAACATGGCCGACGAGGAAGAAGACCCACCTGTAAGTGAAGCCGAAGCATAAGGTGTTGTGTAGAATAAAAGATGTGAACCGTGATTAAGGACCAATTGAGACGCTGGTCGGGTGGCAGCTGCTAGCTGGGAAAAAGGAAAGTGGCGCCTCTCCCGCCTTCCCAAAATTTCCCGGGGATGCTGGAGACAATCGCACCCATCGGTTGGAGAGAACTAAAGTTTAATTCAAGGTTTACTGGGTATTATTCGCATTAAAAGCTACACCCTGTTCGTTGATGGCAGCGCATTATTTTGAGTAATGCGCAGGGAAAGCCTGTAATAAGATACTATAAAATAAGTCCAAGTGAATTGTTTTATTCGCTCTGGATTTCTGGAGTGTAGGATTCCAATCTAGATTCATTTTATGCAAACAAAACTGGCAGTAAGATTCCCCGGGCATTAGGAGATTTACAAGTAAATAAACTTGAATTTGGTTTTGCATTTTGTGATGTAATCCTGTAAATACAAGGTAATTCCCATAAATCATAGAATCATACGGTTGGAAGGGAACTCAGAGGTCTTATAGTCCAAGCCTCTACTTAAGGCAGGAGCCCCGTAGTATTCCAGTTAAACGGTTAAGGAAGTTTATTGTGGAATTAATAATGTGTGTTATTAATGTGTATTAGATGAGGACCAGCAATATACTCCCTACAGATCCTAAGATTCTGCTTTCTATTATTATTTTTGTACTTTGCATTAACATCTGTTTAGCATTTCCTTCATTACTGACCTTGGGCTATGCCTGCTATAATTATTGGAAGTTATAATCCAGAACATCTGAGAAGAATCACATTTCATAGTGATATGGTGCTTTGCAAACTAATTTCAAATATACAATCTCCCTCATTCAAGATGGATTCACAATAATATTTGATGTTGGACTTTTTTTTTATTCTCATGGATTCATGGCATATAAATGAGGTAGACTTAAACCTTGATTCAAATTAGTTGGTGAGGGGCAAAAACACCATAAGTAAAGCTTGTTTTGCTTATAGATTTTGCAAAAAAATATTTGTAGAATTTTTTTTTTACAAAATTATCTTTTCTCCTTCCCCACCACTCAAAAGCGTGAGATATTTTGGACGTCTATGAGAAACACAAAATTTAAGGGAACAGAATGGAACACAGCCCCCCCCCTTTGTTGTTTTTTAGCAACCTCCTTTTATATGAGGTTTTCTAAATACATAGTCAGCATATTTAATAGCTGTTAGAAACTACTAATTTTTCTAATTAATTTTAGAGCAGCTCAAACAGATCAGTACCTTTACATGCTGAAATATATTAGGGTAAACTTCATCTGTATTCAAAATGGAACAAATTATTTAGAATACATATTGGCAGTTGCATCTTTTGCTATTGGCATTTTATTAAATCATATGCATCTTTTCTAGGAGTTGCACAGCAAGATGCAACTTAAGGAGTTGTCAGTATGTGCAACACAAATACCAACATGTGCTAAGAATCACCTTTTCTTTCATTCCAAATTGCTGCATAGTCCTCTGCTAAGAATTATGAATATATAGAGTTGTCCCTGTCCATTTTCTATTTTTACTCAAAGTTCTTTTTCTTACTTATCATAATTTTCTCTGAAATGAGTTACTCCAGTCTGGTTGTCATTTAGATTTCCCTTCTAGGTTTTTAATATCATTTATAATGTACTGTGGACAGAACTGCATTGTATCATATATTTTTATAAAGGCATTATTGTACTGTTGATAAGTTTGTTAAATTCTTGAGATGATATGTAGCATGGAATATGCCTTTTCAGTTGCTGTACTTCATGTTTTTATGAACTTTGCCTGTAGCATCCCAAGGTTCTAGCTGAGATCTTGTCAATGTGATTTTTTATGGCCGTAAGCATAATTTCATCTTTGTTTACAACAAACTTATTTTCATATTGTACTGTTTATTCCTCCAACTTCAAGAGATCTTTTTAGAACTTTTTGCTGTCTCTCTGCTTTTAACCGTCATAATTTTAGACCCCTTCCCTTGTTTCTTAGCTTAATCTTGGGGTATGCTTCTTTTTTCACTCAAATTTTGGATTTATTATCTATAGTTTGAAGAAGATACTGAAGACGCTGGAGGAGGCCCAGATGGTGGACAGGGAAAAAGGAAGCGGTTATTCTCCAAAGAATGTAAGTTGATGCCAGTTTACAAGTAAGAGTAGATTATTTGCATGCTGAAGATACCAAAGAACTGCTGTCTATTTGTATAAGAAATAGAAATATATTAGTTTTAATGACCTAATTTTTTATAAGACAGATTTCTATGTTTTCATAGGTAGTGAGGAAATGTAACCTTTCATTGTCTCCACTTTTGAAGAATCTCTTTATGCGGTACACTTTTTAAATACCGGTATTACTGTGAATTATTGAATGATTTTTGTCTAGCACCTGTATCCTATCAATCTGCATTACTAAGTAAAACAAAATTGAGATGGTTAAGTTATACTTAACATCATTTCCTTCCGAGATCAGTAAAATGAAGACCCAGATTCTTGGGGGCAATATGCTGACTCTGTAAACCACTTAGAGAGGGCTATAAAGCACTGTGAAACTATATATAAGTCTAAGTGCTTTTGCTATTTATATTTGCTCATGTGTCATTTGATACAATTTGTAGCACAGAAAATGAAATATCCATTGAATGTTTCACATTTTATGAGTCATGCAAGATGTCTATCATTGCCAGTTGGTCTTGCAGTTAGTTAGTGATGAACAACTGTGCATTAACTCCTAATAAAATACTTAATTTTTACTACAGTGCAGTATATTTGTATTCTGGGCTTTTGCATTTGCTAATATTTCCATGGCAGTTCTAAGGGCGCAGTTTGCTTTTCAGCCCACTGTTTTAACAGTAAGGCCAAATCCCCTCTAAGTAGTTTCATTGTAAAATATCATTTCTATGAAAACTTAAGTACCAAAACTTATATAATGTAAGTGGTGCAACTTTCCTGAACCATAAATTGGAGTCTAAAACTTGTTGGCTACTTTATTCATTTGGGTTATAAAAGTGGCAGAAGATTTTCTCAGAATATTCCTCCTTCAACATGTTCTATTAAAATATTTTAAACACCGATATTAAAGTGACAGTAAGATTGTGTCATTGTTTCTCATACAAGTTTGAACTACACTTTCTCAAGTAGATTTATTTTAAAAAATACTATTAAAATTTCCTTGAATGGAGAATTTAGAAGACTCTGAATAATTATGTAGATCATAAACCTTCCATTCAGTGCCCTCCTGCAGATGATTTTTGCTTTCTTAATTCCAGTGAGATGTATGATGTATGGATTTGGAGATGATCAGAATCCTTACACAGAGTCTGTGGATATTCTTGAAGATCTAGTCATAGAATTCATCACAGAAATGGTAGGTTCTTATAACAAGTTACTACTTACTAAGACATTTGATACAACAGATGCTATAGTTTGGCTTTTGTTTCCTCACAGTTCTATATTTATGGAAAACCAAGAAGAGTTCAGAGACATGTATAAAAGCTGTTATGACACAACCATCTAAACTTCCAATAAGAATACGTTTTAAAATTTTTCACATACACCCTTTATTACTTTATAAGTAACTCAGCAACGAACATATCTAATACTACTCCCTCCTCCTATTTTGATCATAATCCTGTGAGGTGGGTTGGGCTGAGACTGACTGGCCCAAAGTACCCCAGCCAGATTTCATGCCTAAGGCAGAACTAGAACCAGTATCCTGTTTTCTGGCCTAATGCCTTAATCAGTGCACCAAACTGGTTCTCAGACTATTAATGAACTAAATAGCATAGTTGGACTAGAAGCAGAAATATACAGATTTTAGTCTCCTCTCAGCCACAAAGTCAGTGGATAATCAGCTTCTAACTTCTTTTTCATAAGCATGTATATAGTCTAAATACTGACCACAACTCAGTAACATCACAGAAAATGTATTTACTTGGATTTAATTGAAATGGATTTTCTTTTTGCCCAATAGACCCACAAAGCAATGTCGATTGGACGACAAGGTCGAGTACAGGTCGAAGATATTGTCTTCTTGATTCGTAAAGACCCACGAAAATTTGCTCGTGTGAAGGACTTGTTAACAATGAATGAAGAACTAAAACGGGCTCGAAAAGCATTTGATGAAGCAAACTATGGTTCTTGAGGCCTTTTTTGAACTCATCTCACGATTCACCCTTTGATTCATCTCATTTTTTGAGTCTATAAAAGGAAGCTCTATTTCAGAACATTGCTGCACATTGAAATAGATTTAATTGTGGACTTTCTAAAGAGATTCTTTGTATTGTACTGTTTGTTTTTAAAACAAAATGCTAAACTATTCTTGGACATTATTCCCTATTATATCTTGAATTGTTTAGACTGCAACCATTTGAGTGTCATAAGTGTTATTAAAAATTTCTAAGGGCTCTATAGCTATTATCTTTTACCTCTATCCCATCAAATTTAGTTTAAAAAGCCATGCTCATAAATCTCTATTTTTAAATCAGGGGTGTCAAACTGGCGACCCATGGGCCGGATGCATCATGTGCAAGCCACACCCATCCCAGCTCAACAAAGACAAAAAACATGTCAGGTGACACGATCAAGTTTGATACCCATGTTTTAAATGGATCTTTTTCTCCATGCTTCATTTACAGAAAGATAACCTCTTTCACAGATGAGTACAAATATTAATGAGTAGGAATAGTTTAGTTTGACAGAGCTAATGTGTCAGAAGGACATGGAACAAATGGTACTAAATCACTAGGTCAAATAATTATTTAATCCACCAAAAGCATTAACCATAATTTCAAAACAATGAGGTTCCTTCTACAATGGTAATCTGCAGAAATATTTTGGGTGCTGTGTGTTTATCAGTCACTTTGCATTAAAATGAAACAATATAAATTTATGCATTATGTCAGTGATAATTGCTGGATCATCAAGGCTGAGTCGTCTATATGGATAGCAATTTAAAAGAAAATACAAGAACTTGGACTTCTGGTGAAGACGTATAGTACATTAAACACCTCTGAAAGAATGAAGAGTGCAGCAACAATGTGGCCAGACCGTAAATTCCAGCAATCTTTCCAGAAAAAGGAGATTGTGTGCACCCAATTGCATTCTGGACAGCTGTTCCTTGTGAGTAGACTTCAGAAACAGATTTTTGTGATAAGCTTGAGTTAAGCAGCTGGAAATTGGCTAAGTCCACAGCTATAATACAGTTCATATGGACAAAAAGATTTGCACAAGCCTAATTCTTTAAATGCTTTTGAATATAATTTACAGCTAAAGAGATTTTGTGAGTGATAGGAAGAGAATTCCACTTCTTGCATCAACAATTTTTCTGGATTAAAATGAAATGATCAAACAAAGATTTAAAACTTTTGGCAAAAAGCTTAACAAAAAGTGTTATAAGAAAGTTTGAAACGGATTAAAGGTTTTAAATTTTTAGAAGATTTTTCAATGAAAGCGCTTTTGAAAAAAAAATGGAATTAAAATAGACAAATGAACCAGACTTTGTGGGAATTTATTTTCTACCAAAAAGTGCAGATAATTGGTTAATTTTATAGAATTAATTTTAAAAAATGAGTCAGACTATGATGCTGACTTTAACTATGGAGTGCCATCTAAGATTAAGGTATTAGCGGCATGAGAAGACAAAACAATGGGGAGGGGGGAAGACTTGCTTTTTACTCTTTCTCTTGCAATTGAAACTTTCACTTTGGATTACAATATCACAATGGCAACCACTAGAAAATCAGCAAAAGTAGCAGAAGGGAGTAGAGACTTACTAACTAGAATAACTCAGAAAGGAATTACATCAAATTTATCAGAAAATGTTTTGAGGAATTAAGCAGAAAATTAGCTGAATCACTTGATACTAAATTGATAAAAATGTATTCATGCTTTGTTACCAATTGAGGTTACATTCTGCATGTAAGACAATAAGAATGAGATAGATATGAAAAAAATGGTTATTAACAAATTACAGGTATTTGTTCACTTTATAAGGCACTTCAATAGTCCAAGTAACTAGGCAAACAATAAAGCATAATAAAACAAATAGAAGACAGTAATAAACAGAATTCTGTATTTTATGTGCTGTCATAGAAAGGATAAACATAACTAAAAAAATGCAAGCTTTTCTCCTTCAAAAAGGGTGTTGTTTTTTTTTCTTTCTGAGATAAAACATTAACCCGGGATACCTATAAGTTGCCCTGTCTTAGGACTGGCCATCAAAGCTTATCACTTTAAAGAATGCTAAGTATAATTCACAGCCATATTCTTACTGATATTTAAAAATGGATAGTTCCTGCAACAATCTAATATTGCAAAGTGACCTTTTGCTTCCAGGTATTCACACTCCACTTTAGCTCTTTAGTGCTTTTCCTCTCCACTGTCCTCACTGTCCATTCACCTCAAAGAATTATTTGAGGAAATTGTTATTCAACTATTCTTAGCACCATTTGTTTGGCAGTGCTCCAACTTAAGTTTCATATGATCTGTAGCAACACTCCTACAAATATAAAAGAGTAAAACATTGCTATAAAAATAAGTAATTGAGGGATAATTCAAATCAGTCCACCAACAATTACAACTTGTTTTTCAACCTCAAAGAAACCTCAAAACAGTTGCCTGCTTTTGCTATAATGGAACAGAAATAACATTTGAACCGAACATCATTTATGATTATTTAACAGAAAGTAGCCTTAGAGACCTATAACTTTAAAAATATCATCAATGTCATCTTTCTGTTCAATGGCTTTTTTCTGTATATGGGAAGGATGACTCTCCAACATTGCAGGGCCAGAAATGCCATCGTGGTTGCTTTCCTCAGAAATCTTTGTACCACTGGAGTCCAAAGTCCGAAATAGAAAGCACTGATTGAGGAAAGGAGATGCAGTTCCCTTGAAGAGAGGACTCCCTCTAGGTACAGAAGTAGCCTGTGAAACACAGCTCTGCTTCCTTGACAGTCTACTATTTCGCTGGGGACTTCCTCTAAGAAATTGCATGGGTCTCTCTCTGCAAGTTTGGAGTGTAAGGAATTTACAGATAGTGGCTTTAATACATCCAAGTTTCCGTTGCAATCTGTAAAAGAAAAAAAGATTAGCAATTAAAGCAGCAAAGAGCAATTGTTTGATGTAACAGTCTGTAAAACCAACATTTTATTTTGCGTAATCCAGTTCTTTCACATGTCAAAAGTTCTAGTGAGGGAAGAGTTTAATCGACTAATCAAAATCTGGAACAGGTTACAGAAGAAAGCCTAACACTATGGATGCAGATCCAACACGATTCATGTGGTTTAATTTTATTAATATGAACACTGAAAAAGTTTCATCATTTCCATATTACAAATATGGAAATCAAATACTTTTAGCATCCATCTGGGGATCGGAGAACCTATAGTTCTCTAGATAGAGGTTTTCAAACTTTCCAGGTCTCTGTGAATTATATGGGAAGAGACATGAACCCAAAAACACTTGGTGAAATGTGTTTCAGACAAGCAGACTGGTGGGTGACAACTACAGGCGGACACCGCTGGTAGGCATCATGTCAGCCCTCCTTGGCAAGTCGGAACTGTACTCACAAATTACTTTACTCACGTTCGTCAGGCAAGGTAATAGTTTATTGGAAACGTTCCTCCAAACAGGTAACAAAAGCAAAATGCCATGTAAAGCCAGCGCTGAGAGCAACTGCCTTTAAATATACACTTCCCACCCTTGCTAACTAACCTGCCAACTAATTCCCCATGCCTCCTCCCCGAAAGGGCTAATTGCAGCTATTCCTAATTTTCCTTCCTTCTTGCAATCTCACCCAACCAATAGCAGCACGCTCCTCCCACCCCACCCCACCCCCGAGTATGCAGCTATCCTCATTGAAAACAGCATCGGTAAATCGCTATGGCTTCTGCGTGTGCCGTCATGCCGCCCTGTACTGCCCAAACAATTTGAGCAACACCAAGTCAGTCCCATAACTGAGATCCCAAGGCTCCAAAACAACCATTGCTTTTGCCAATCGAGCCAGCGACAAAGCATTCCCCCCCCCCCCCCCCGTTGCCGCTGTGATTCAAGCCGCTTCCCAGCTGGAGCTCATTAACAAACGTAGCAGGCTGTCATTGTGTTGAACTTCACCCTGGGAAAGCGTCCGGATCACTGAAGCCCGGCACATCGCAGATGATACCTATGTAGATGGGGGCTATGGAGCATGGGAGGAGAGATACTGCAGGCAAGCACTATGAAGTATAGGCAAGTGGGTGATGTGGGCAAGCAGTGTATCAGTACAGATAAGACCCCCATACTGCTCAGGGGCTCCCCTCCGCCCAAAAGACAAGCAACTTGCTGGAGCAACTTGCAACCTCTGCCAGCTTTCCCACTGACTTTGCTTGTTGAAAGATGACGTGGGAGGTTGCAAATGTCAATATATGACCACAGGGCACTGCAGTCCTTGTAATTGAGAGCTATTTGCCGTGTGCCCAAATCCCAATCATGTGACGATGGGGATGTTGCAATAGCTACAACTTTGGGCATTGGTCGTAAGTCCCTTTCATTGAGTACCACCATAACTTTGAACAGTTGCTGAACAAGTAGTCGCTAAGGAAGGACCATTTATATTTCAAGAGTACACAGAGCCTGTTTAGAAGGTATGGAAAGACAAGGACTAGCAATCTACACACCTGCAACCTTGGGCTTCCACATGCTGCAGCCTCTTGCTTTTTAAAAGCTTCATTCCTAAGAAGAAAGCCCCTGATCTAAATTTATTGTTTTTACACCAGACAACTGTCATTTTCAGTGTTTGAGACAGTTCTTCAAAGGAGTGCACTGCTTTAAACTTGGGCACAAAAGAGTGAAGATGCTGAGATCTCAGGGCTTTAGAAGAAATAGATGTGATTTTCTTTGACTCGGGAAGCATATTACTGCATTTAGAATTCTGAAATAAAATAGTAAAAAATTAACATTGGAAAACATTTAATTAAAAAGCTAAGAGAGAACTTTAACACACAGTATCCTTGGCTAAAAAGTCTCAGTGTACATAAAAGATACATTCGTCAAGAGTCAAGGATTATAAGATACACAACACTTAATAATAGCCATGGGGTACAATAAAACAGGAGACAGGAGCATTAGTTTTGTAATTGCCTTTAGCTGATCCAAAATAAATGTGGGATAAAATTGTTTTTCCTTCTGTTCAGTCATGTCTGATTCTTGGAGACAGCCCCAGTTTTCTTGATAAGGTTTTCAGAAGTAGTTTGCCATTGCTTCCTTCCTGGGCTGAGAGAAAGTGATTGGCTCAAGGTCACCCAGCTGGCTTATGCCTAAAGCAAGACTAGAACTCATGATCTCCCAGTTCTAATCTAATGTCTTAACTATTACATCAAACTGGCTATCAAATATACATAAAGCCTACAAGAATAGAATGGAACAAACCTCCTGTGACACAGGATTAGGATATTTGCATAATGTCTTCAGATTAAACTCCAACTTCTCTGCAAGATCTAAAAGAAAAGGCATATGGGGATAAAACTAAAAACAGGTAAATAATATTAAATAATAGGTTTAAATCAGTAAATCTGCTATGTCAGTCTGGCCACTTCAATCTTTCAGGATCAGTACGCTTCACAATATCTGTTTTTCACAAAACTGGCTTTTCACCCAGGCCTTTGCAGAGGGACAGTGGGACCCCTTGCTTCATTCTATCTTATCTGTCATGCCATATTTTAATAGTTCTATTTTAATTTTTTAGTTGTAAGCTAGGGCACAGTTGTTAGGAATTGAACATGTAGGTTTAATAAATTATTATTTTGTACATTAGATAGTAATCTTCCAACTTAATACAAGATATAAAAGCATTAAAAATTGTATACAACGCTGTAATATAAGCATGAGTGACTGTTACTAATATTCAAATAAATTAAGCAGCCATTACTACCAGTACTCACCTTGGTTAGTTCTCTTTATCAAAACTGGTTTTCCAATATCGTAAGTATTTTGGCTACCTTTCCTCTTTTTCTTCTTTTTTTTCCTGACTGCTGGAGGAACTGCTGCACTCAGATTCTGAGAGTGGGATACAGTTTTATGTACTGA